ATTTTATCTTCTTGTGGGCTATTGTAAATGGTATTGATTTGGTGATTTCCTCTTTGAAGTTCTCTTTGTTGGTGTAGAGGAATCCAACGTATGTTTATCTTGTATCCTGATAACTTGCTGAAATCTTTTATTAGTTCCAGTAGTTTTCTTGTGGATTCTTTGGGGTTTTCTGTGTATAAGATCATATCATCTGCAAATAGAGATAGTTTTACTTCTTCCCTACCAAGTTGGATGCCCTTTATTCCTTTTCCTAGTCTAACTGCTCTGGCTAGGACCTCCAGCACAATGCTGAATAACAGCGGTGATAAAGGGCATCCTTGTCTGGTTCTCATTCTCAAGACCCTAGGTAAATTTGTGGAGGAAAAAGAAAATTATTCCTGCAAACTTGCCTGAAAAAGATATTAGAAGTCACATTTCCATTATTCACCAATCATTTACTAAGCATCATACCAAAAGAACAAGAAAGAAAGCCCTGACCACACATTAAAATTAACTACTTAAAGACAGCATGAAATTGACCCAGATTTACCGTACTATACAAGCAAAACTGATTTACTACACCTTAAAAAATATTCATGTTAGGGACCCATTTCCTTGTAAATGAAAAATAATTCTTGTGACATCAAACGAGGATCTATGCAAAGCATGCACTTTAGTACAAGTAAAATCCTTTTTTTTAATCAGGAAGCATTAATGACAGCCTTCTTATAACATGAACTGATACTCCAAACTAATATTCTTAGCCTTCCATAAGAGCAGCGGTGTTTGTTTTTTTAATCCTTCCTATTTCAAAACCTGTGACCTTGAAACTTGCTTTATTTTATGAAGAGGGTATCTATGAAACTTTGCAACAAGGCTTCTATTTTGAGGGTTTTTTCCCCTGGGTGGAGCCCTGGTGGCCTAGTGGTTAACGTTTGGCTGCTAACCAAAAGGTCAGTGGTTTGAACCCACCAGTGGCTCCAGGGGAGAAAGATGTGGCAGTCTGCTTCCGTAAAGATTACAGCCTTGGAAACTCTATGGGGCAGCTCTATTCTGTCCTGTAGGGTTGCTCTGAGTTGGAACTGACTCCACAGCAGTGGGTTTGGTTTGGTTCCCTGGGTGGTGCAGTTAACACACTCCACTGCTAACCAAAAGGCTGGAGCCTACCTAGAGGTCCTCAAAAGAAAGGCCTAGTGATCTACTTATGAAAAAATAGCTACTGAAACCCCATGGAGCACAGTTCTACTCTGGCACACAGGAGTTGGAATTGACTCTAAGGCATGCATCAGCATACCACTTCTATCAGGAAGAGCTTCTGGCTACCCTCTGTTAGGGGTAAATGTGCCCTCTGAATTTATCAGCCCTCTCTGTGAATCAAGGAGCCCTCGTGATGCAGTGGTTAAAGCGCTCAGCTGCTAACTGAAAGGTCAGCGGTTTGAATCCACCAGACACTCCACAGGAGAAAGATGTGGCAGTCTGCTTCAGTAAAGATTTACAGCCTTTGAAACTCTATGGGGTAGTTCTACTCTGTCCTATCCGGTCACTCTGAGTCGCAATTGACTCGACGGCAACAAGTTCTCTGTGTTCCTCTCTGAAGGAGCTTAGCAAGTTCTACCTTGCTTTATCCCACCTTATCACCCTTCCTGGAGTATCGACTCTCCTTACCATTCTGCTTTCAACACCTGGAAGGAGATCTTGCATATAATTTTCCAATAAGATAAAAAACTAAACGTAATACTCAAATATCCGATATTTGCCGTAACTAAACACTACATCATTTAGCAATCGCCGCAAAACATTATTCAATTTCAAAATCACAAATAAGGTTCAATCTTACTGAACAAAGTTTGGTGATTTGCTACCTAAAATTACGTTATTTCTATGTTGGCAGAAGAAACACAAAAGGTGGTATGGTTGTCCCAAGCAGAGAATGCTGAGAAAAGGATTCTGACCATTTGGTTTAATGACAGGTTATTTCTTGAAGGGTCCTAAAGGCACAGGTAGTTCTTATACAAAGAGGTTTAACTTCAGCTGGGCTTTCTGGTCATTTTGGACTTTGATGGGGCAATTTAACATTTTACTGAGAACCATGCCCTGCTTCACTAATAACAATACAAGAGACCTCCCTCTTCCCCCCAAAAAAAAGGCAAGTAATGCCAGACTATTGATATGAAGTGTAGTTATTTAGAAGCCCTGGTGGCGTAGTGGTTAAAGTGCTCGGCTGCTAACCAAAAGGTCAGTGGTTCGAACCCATCAGCTGTTCTGGGGAAGAAAGATGTGGCAGTCTGCTTCCATAAAGATTTATAGCCTTGGACACCCTATGGGGCAGTTCTACTCTGTCCTATAGGGTCGCTCTCAGTCGGAATTGATTCAAAGGCAGTGGGTATGGTGGTGTGGTGGCACACAATGCTTAAGAGCTCAGCTGCTAATGGAGAGCTCAGCAGCTCTACCGGAGAAGAGACCTGGCGATATGCGCCTATAAATATTACAGGCTAGGAAATCCTATGGGGCAGTTCTACTCTTTTCTAAAGGGTTGCCATGAGCTGGAATCAACTCTCAATGGCAAACAACAACAATAAGCTGCGGTTTAGGCTCACAGCCCCTACATATAGAGCTGTGTGACTGAGGCTCACTTCCCCTAGAAGCCCAGAGAGGAGGGGTGGAAATCATGAACATCAAACAAATAGTGAATCAACAGATCACCAGGAGCCCCAGGTTTAAGGTGCTTCCATCAAACCCCAGCCACGCCTATGAAATACTTCAACAGCACCCTAAAGGAAACATAAAACTGAATTCTGAAATGAAACATTAAAAAAGTATCAGTGGTGTGTGTCTTGAAAAAATTACTAGTGAGATTTTAAGTCTCAATGCCCCACTTTCCCCCAAAAGTGCTTTCTAATAATACTGAGCACATTTCAAACGGCTTCAACCTGCCAAGAACTTGCCAACTGTACCTCCTCTGCTCAGCAACCAGGGTGAAAAACCAATGACAGAGGAACCTTAATTTCTTCATTTTTGAAGTAAATTACAAACATCTATCTTGCTGGGCATTTATCCACAGGGAGAGTTGCTCCTAAATGAATTTAGGAAGTGAACACGACTTTTAATGGATAATTTGCTTCCCAACAGGAAAGCATGAGAGGCAAAACAAAGAGAAGAATGAGTGAATATGGGCTCAAAGGAAAAAGAACAGAGAAGCATGGAAATAATTTGGGAAAACGATGAAAAGCTGAAAAGCAATAATACAAAGAGTAAAAGCAAAAGGAGAGAAAATACTCCAAATAAAGACAAATGCCTCTGGAAGGAAAGAGGGACAGGATAGAATAGTTTCAGAATTACTTGATTACTTACTCCACTTTGCTACTGGGTTCTGAATTGCATATCCTATAAAAGGAAATGGGCTAGCAGTGGAGAAAACAAAGTGGGACAGTGCAGGAAAGTAAACAGATACCAGAAAGTCCTAGAAGAAGGATCAGGTAGGGCTGGATCAAGGAAAAAGCTGGTTATCAGCGAGGTCCCTGGAAGTGCCCAGGGAGCGGCAACTGCGGGGCCTGACTTGTCCATGGACGATCGGAGCGCCAGAGCGGGCTCAGGTGAGACTACAAGGACCACCACCCCAAGGAATAAGTGGGTTAGGGACTAGAGTAACACCAGATAGGCTCTCAAGGGAAAAGAAGTGGAGGATACTCGGGACCTGGCAAGACCCGACGGGGAAGCCGGAGAGGAGAAGAGAACGCTAGTGAGAGGATACCAGTGAGTAGGGCCAAGGGCGGTGACGCCAGGGGCCCCAGGACGCCCTTCGCGGATCCCAAACTCACCGATGCCGAGTCCCACGACCAGGCGGCCCGCCAGCAGCGTCTCCTTGTTGTTCGCCGCGGCCAATACCGCAGAGCCGGCGGTGAAGAGGGCACTGGCCAGGAGGATGGCGGCACGGCGGCCAAAGACGCCGTTGAGGACCCCGCCGGCCAGCGCTGAGACGGCGGCCGCCCCCACGGTGCTGGACACAAGCAGCTCCTGCCACAGCGCGTCCAGGCTTAGCTGCCGCTTGAGCAGCAGCATGGCCCCCGACACCACCCCGGTGTCATAGCCGAACAGGAAGCCGCCCAGCGCGGAGAAGACGGCCACCACGTACACGAAGGCTGGGGTCTCGTCCTGCTGGAACTGCCGCCGTGCCGCGCGCTCCAGGTCCCCGACGCTGCCGCCCGCGCCCGCGCCGCTGTGCAGGCTGGCGCTCGACTCCGCGGCCGCCAAGAGGCTGCGCTCCCCGGCCGTGCTCGCCGCGTCCGGCTCCTGCTGCTTCCTGCGCCGCTCGCCCATGAGGCTGCTCAGGCTCCGCAGCGTGTACTCCACATTCTCGCTCGCCTTGCGGGACATAGGGCAGGGGCCCGGGGCTTCCCGGGGGGACGAGGTTCCGCGGGCCGGTTATCTCCGCGGGCTGTACAGCCCGAGCCGGCAAGAGCAGCCGCTGCTGCCACCGCCGATGCCTTCTTCCTCCCGGCTCCGGCTGCCACGGCAGCCGCCGCCGCCGCCGCGGCCACTCCGGGGAGAAAGTTCCTGCCAGCCGAGCTCCGGCACTGCCGAGTTGGACCCTGGCCGGTCTCACTCGAGACTCAACGCCCCGCGCCTGCCGAGCTGGCGCTACGAAGCGGGCGGGAGGTGGGGCCGTGGGTCACATGTGGGGCGGGGCCTAGAGGGAGGGGCCTGGAGGGCGGGACCAGGAAGACGCTCCACCCACGAGGTGGGGCCCTGGTCCTGCTCCGCCCCGTCCGGACCCCTTAAACCCCATCTTCCGGTCAGATGCGACCTTTGACCTAGGCTCCTTCATTTAAGGCTCTGAGCACCGGTGTGGAATTGACCCTGTTTTCAGAGCCGCGTATTGGGGAGCAGGCGAATATGGGGATGCCAGGTAACAGATTTCCTGACCTGGTTGCTGCATGGATTTGGAGGGTAGGGGGAGAACTACTTAAACAAGCCTGACCCGCCTTCTGACAGCCTGGGAGTGGCCAGTAGCCAGGGCTGGAAAGGGCCTGGGGAAAAAATACTCTGGTATAGCACGTAGCAAGTAAGTAGCCTTCCTTTTACAGTATTGTGACATTGCCCAATATGGTCTTGTTCCCTGGGACTATTTTGTTCTGGAGTAATTTAGGACCGTGTCCTCCAATTTCTATAACCAGTTTTCTCATTTATCGCCAATCTTCCTTCAGTTTAGAGGGAGATAACACGTCCCAGGTGAATCCCAAACCTCCTTTAACGATCTCTGATGTTTAGAAGAAAATTCACATATATGC